CAATCAATCAAAATCTATGAAATATATTATTTACAATATAAATGCTGACACTATTAAAAAAAAAAACACATTGGTAGAAGACATTGGTAGAAGAGGTACAAAAAAACTATTTTAAAAAAAGGAGGAGGGGGGGTTAGGAGGTAAAAAAAATCAAGAAAATACATATCTAATGGAACGTTAGAAAAAATAACAATTACTTTAAGCGTGTATCATACCAATGCCACAGTGAAGTCTTCTAACACCCAGTTTGTAGGCCTACATACTGGAAATGCATACCAAAGCAGTGACACTGTTAAATGTAAAAAGAAAATCACTTACTAACAATATAAAAGGAACTGCGTTGTGGTAGAATTAAACAATGTTTTATGAAATATTTTGTAGGCTTATGGTAAGAATGGTATATTTATAACTTCCTGTGCATTTATGTAGAATAATTCATTTCGCAAGACCAATTTATCAAGGGCGTTTTGTATTGTTATGCCATTTACCAAACTTTCCAACCAATGCAGATTAACAATTGTAAATTGGGCGTCAACGGCATTAATTGATGCCAATGAATAAAATCCGACCCCTTTGGCCACTCCATGGCGCATTCAAAGTTGTATTGCGTCTTTGTCACTTGTTTTGCCGAAATTAATAAAATAAAAAATTATGTATTTTTAGGGCAATTTTATTATATTATTATTATTATTATTATTATTATCATTATTAATATATTACCACTAGCATTACATCAACCATTGTGTTTCATATGTGCTCTGACAGAATATACTTCAAATGAAATACTGACTTATTTGTAACTACAGTATACAGTATCTATATTAAAGGTGCTGCGTAGGCAAATAAATATGTAAATGAAACACAAAGATATAGTCTGTAATTCGCAAAAATTTATTGAAGATAGGAATCAAGGAAATCTTTTGGTCATCATAGATCTTTATCAAGTTATACATACATATATATAAACGATAGATGCAGTGCTCTGTGTGATTCCAGGAACAAATGATGTTATAAACATATGAGGCATAGCCAATACTATAGGAAAATTTTAGGATTTCCACTTTCATGGTTGAGTGCACACACTGGCTACCACCGGTACTGTAAAAGCCAACTCAACTGTGCTATGAAATCATACAGAACACCAAACAAAGCATGTTCTTGTCATGCTATTGCAATTGAAATAAATTAGATTTATTGGTGCAGATAACAAAAATTTTGATAAATTATTTCCGGATGCACGTTTGTACAAAGTTCTAATTTGACCTTGAACTCGATAAATTCAAGGTCATTGCAAAAGGATATACAAAATGCTAAATACCTTCATATCACATCAGAACATTTTCAATACAATTTTGAATCAATCTCATATACTTTGCTATCAAAAGTTGCAGTCTTCGTAAATACACATGATAATCCACACAAATAAATGGTTAGGCAAGAATTTTTTATAATTCTTGTTCCTAATTATATAAATTTAAAGCACTTAACCATCCTGTAACTACACTTTTTACAATACATTCACCTATAACATTTTATTTTCTACTTTCTCTTCCATCTGGATGCTTTTGGCAAAAAAACATGCTACTACTGAAAATGAAGCTACTGTCTGTTACAGTAGTATGAATGAATGCAAGATTAAAAGCAAGATTTTGATGAACACATAAAATCCTATAAAATGGTATCACAGTACTTGGACAATTAGCCCTACATTTGGCTTCGATTTAGACAGCTAGATTCTGTATCAAGACCATAATAAGCAGCAAAAAGTTGGAATACCAAAGATGATACAAGAGGGTCGTCTTATATGCCCAACATTAAAAAATCATCCAAAAATCTTCTCAAACTCGGGTCATCTTTACACGCGGATTGCTCTATAGTATATAAGGTACATCGTCCAACAGATCAATTCTTTTAAAAATATTTATTTAGAGGTTCCCCAAGCGTCTTTTCAAGCTGTCCAATCACTTTTTGACATTGCATTTCAACTTCAGTTGATTCATCTGCAAAGAAAATTAAACCAGGATGTGTTAAAAAATAAAAAAAATAAAAACATTTATTTACTCCCAATTACAAACATCAAACCTAACAAAAAAACACCATGCATTTCTACAGTTTTGCAGCAAGTCAGACAGCCTGATCAAATACAGTCTGTTGGGTCCAAAAGACAAAAATCTGATAGAATTTGACGAGTTTTGGACACAATTCAAATCTTTAAGACATATCCAGACTATCAAAATTTGTTTGACAACATGTGACATGCCTAAATATGGTCATGATCACATTATATCATGAACATATTTAGGCGTATCATGACTATATATGGGCATACATCAATTTTTTGTCAAACAAAATTTGATAGTTTGGACATCACTCTTTTAATCTTATCAAAACTTTGCATATTTACTTTAAAAATTTCTGTGAATTTACCTTCTAAGAGTTCTGAAAGGAAGGGAAGTGTTTCTGGCAATAGCGTAAGGAACTCCTCACCAAGTTGTTTGTGCACTTCCTCCAGGATTACCAGAGTGGCAAAACGAACCTATTAATTAAAAGAAATAAAATCTGTTTAAAACTCCCTCTGGTGGCCAGCTCACATCAATTTGCCAGGCTGCATTCAACCTTTTAAAAATGTCAACATCCTGAATACACTACCTTGTCAGATACAGCAATGGAAGGAAAACTTCATTTATATCTAAACACATCAGTCAACTTGTACACATAAAATTCACATGTAGAGTAGACAAACTTGCACATTATGCATACACAATTCATACTTCAGACACTGTACAGGGCAGTTAGCAATCTAATTTTATACTCAATGTTCTTAAGCGGAGCACCATTACTTTACCTTTGGTTCTGAATGACGTGTTTTGAGAAGCAATTGGTAGTTGAGTGGTTGCCAACAGCCTGTGTCCTGAGCACAGGTCATCATCTGTGCTATACATGGGGTCAAGTGGCGACTGATCAGAGCTTCATATTCAACTTCCCCTATACTGGTATTCTCAACCTGGGAATATATGATATACAAATCATTAATATTCATTATCATCATGATTGCAAAGCAAAACAGAACAGGACTGTACCATGACCCTCTGGGGTGTGGACAAGAATTTAATTCAATTTCGGTAGTTTGAATTGTGAGTTTAAGAGGCAAATTATGCCAGTCGTAAACAGGCCTGAACAGGAAGGAGTTCTTATATCTGTCAGCTCTGGTATTGATTATTTTGGGACTGGTACTGGCATAGGCATTTATAAAGTACCACTTCCTAAAAGTTCTATTGCACTGTTGTGAAGGAATCACTTGGCTGATTAGCATCTCAACATTGAAGTTTATTGAATGTAATTGGTGAATCCCCGTTAGAATGAAATATTATTGACACAGCCTGGCTGCTTCACATCTTTCTGCGAGAGACATTCCCATCCCAGTCCCTCAATAATTTCAGTAACTCTGGTTTTATGGCAGTAATTGTTGACCACAAATTGTGCCGTTCTCCTTTGGATTGCGTCAAGCATGCTTATCAGTGCAATGGGATAGAATATTTCATGAGGTAAAAGTGTGTTCTTATCAACTCAGCTATGCTTTGTTGAATAGAATCTTCTTATAAGAATGCTTTAGTGCTAACACCAAGGGCAATTTAAGAATCAAAAATGTCAAAGAATATTGAAAATCTGTATAATCAGCATTATAATAATAGTATTCATCAACTAATTTAGTAAAATATATTACATTATATTTCCAAAATATGTCAGTACAACTTTCGGAAAAATAATTTTTAAAACACATGTTTAACATACCTGATTCAATAATGGTATCATAAACATCTCAAATCTCTCTTTGCTAACAAAACCTTCCTTGTCGTACAGAAAAACTTTGTATAGGGTGGATAGAATGGAATGTAAGAGTAAGCTGCACTTGGTACCTGTAAACAGCTGCTCACCTGCAATAGAGAAGGTTAGAATTATGACATTTTCCATCTTAAAAGGAAGTTTTGGTTTTCACTCTAGTGGCACCAGTGGCAGCACCAGAAGGTGTCCGAGTTTTTTTTTTTAAAGAAAATGTTAGGAACAAATTTTGTCCTTCTGAAATATGCATGGAAGATTAAGCGAAAACGAGTGTATACTACTTAGCAGTTTTGTCCCTTGACAGACATGGGAACATTTTTAATCTTACATGATATTGCACAACAAATATAAAACTTCTCCAGACTTATTTTTCTCCCAACCTCAGGGGTCATTCTATGAAATGTTTGCAAGCACAAAAGAGCCGAAGTTGGAGAAACATTTTTTAGCAATTGAGTGGCAGTTGAGTAGGATAAACCTCCGATGAGCATTGTGACAGTACCAATGTGGATTCCTGCAAGGAAAGACTGAGGGCCCTACTCAAGGAATAGATGGCCTAATGACCAAGTATCCAAATATTTGAGTATACAAGGTTGGTAGTCAAGCTGAATATGTGGCAAAGACAAGCCAAACCAGTCACTCGTCACAAATCGTGTTTCAGAGAAAATGGCCAAAACATGTTGGAATGTCAAATTTTTTTAAATCTATTTTATTGCACTAAACTAATCTTTATATATCTATACATCATTCTATGCTGTTAATTTCCCCATTTTCAATGTTAAAACAACACTTTTTAAGGATTTGATGATAGTTTCTGCATGGGAAATGCCTGAAATCATAAACTTTGAAGGCTGATTTCTCATATATTG